TCAACACTAATGGGATTCCACTTTGAAATTTTTCTTTCTATAAAATAAAAAGGAAACATTAATTTTCTTTTTACATTTTTATTATTTATAATTACTTCTGCATCAGTTAATTTCTTAGTGACAATTCCATCTTGAACTGAATCCCAGGTGCGTCCAGCTACCATACATACGAGTAGACCATACATCTCAGCTACTCCCAGTTTGGTGCAGTATTTTTTCATTCTATCATGATTATTATCCAATATACTCATCCATAATTTAGCATACGTACGTCGAAAGCTATCAGACAATGTCTGAAATAAATAGTTAATTAAAAAAAAAAGAAACAGGGTAACATTTAATTGTTTTTAATAAGCTTACGGCGTAAAGTCCATGATCTAAGAGTATTAAATTCAATTGACCATTTTTATCTTTGTTTACCAACAAATTACCAGGATGAGGATCACTATGTACAAATCCATTTTTGAATATCATTTCACTATATAAGCTTCCCAATTTATCAGATATTTCATCAACTTTCAAACTACATTTTTTAAATATATATTTTTATTATTTTTATTTATGTCAAAATTGTATATTAATTAACAACATATATAATTTAATATTAGATACAATACTTAAACTAATACAATATTCTGATTTAATTTTGTTTTTCAACAACTTATTAGATTTTAATGCGGTTTTGTACACGGTTAAACACTTACTTATTTTGTTTAATGTAATTAAGATCATTGATTTGTCCACCTTCAAAAAACTCCAATGTTAAAACTCTGGAAGAACTATACTCATCATATATTTTTGGTATCTAAAATTGAATTTAAAAAAAAAGTATATTTTAATATTATTTTAAAAATAATGTTGGGTGGGTTATTTTATATATTTAAGTTAGGTTACAGTATACATTACAAAAATATGCATTTGAAATTTAAATACACTGCTTATAAAAAAAATACCTTTAACCACTTCAAGTGTTTGAACATTGATCTAATAGTTTCAGTATTTTGTGCTTCAATTGTAAAATCTAATTCTTTTGGTATATTCTGTTTTGTTTGTTTCACAAGCCATTGAAATTTAAAATCAGGAAAAATATAGGAACCGATGTTCACCAAAGTCTAAAACAATGCAATCTACATTATTACTTACTTAAAAACATGAGATTATGATGGTACATATTAACAAAGTGTTTGAAAGATAATATTTATATCAGTAGCAAATTATAGCTCCAATGCATGGGCATGCTCATTTGTTCTTCAAATTATAAAATTAAAGCTCTTACTTGGGACAGTTTAATATTAATAATGCATATCACCTATGTAGGGCAAAAGCAACTGAATGAGAATGCGGCATGCTATTATGCTAACATGCGGCAGTATTGTTAGAATTGAAGCTGTTAAGAGATCGGTTCTCGGCACAGTATATCCTGCAATAACAACTAACAAGCACCATATGGCTAAAGCAAGTTAACATATGCCCTGCTAGTAAAAGATACAATTAAATCATAATAATTCATTCATATAAGTATAACTGAAAGAGACCAACTGCTGGTCATATGTTATTTATGTTATAAAATACATAATAACTTATAATTAATGGTTACATAATTTGGTACAAGTTTTCTATCGCCACAGTGTCATCGACAATGTATTCCCCCACCACCAGTGATATCCATTGCAATACCATAGATTAGATATAATAATGACAACAAAGTGTTACAATCTGTAAAGTTAGGTTTTTAAGTGTTAAAAAATGTATAAAAATTAAAAGAAATTAAATTTGGATAAAAATGGATATATTTTATTATTTCAAAATTTGCCTATGATTTTATTATATTATGGATATTTTAAAAGCATGATTCAAAAAAGTTAGTGCATATAAATGCAAATTTCTGAATTTATAGTGCATATTTTAATACATATTTTGCCAATGTTTAGAGCATGAATGCATGCTAATTTAGGCATTTTTTAGTGTATGAACTTACGAGCCCTGCTGATGACAAAGTCTAATGTTGACCCATATTTTCAAACATACTTTTATTTTTATTTTTGATTAATCTAACATCAAAGTTTAAGCATTTATTTTGTACCAATGTTAATACAATTACTAATAAGCTAAGCACTATATCCTTAATTTAATTAAACAAAAATTATTCATACTTATGTTAAAAAAAGGCTTAGCCCATTAAAATATAATATAATCTAATAAAATACTAAAATATATTCTAAATTTGAATATTATAAAAAGTATTTACCATATTTGCATAAACAGATCACATACTAGACTAACTTATGCATAAAATATCAATCATAAATATTGACATTTTAAACTAGACTATTGGTGTAAGGTTGCCTAGAGGCGGAGTAATAAATTTTAAATGGCTCCGTGGCCGTGAAATACAAACAATTACACATATTTTTTATAATAATGTTTTTATTCTTAAGCATGCCCGACAAATTCACCACTCATATGTATGGTTAATATATAAGTAAGTTACCTCAATTATAGCAATATCTATTTTGGCATCTCCTCGAACATATGAGTGCTGTACTTTGATAGCAACATTTTCTCCTGTTGATCGTAATTTTGCTTTATGTACTTGAGCCAACGATGCTGCACCCAATGGCTTTGGATCTATTTCACTGAATAATTGATCGACCTTTAGTTATAAATAATATCAACTTGTTAACATAATATATTTTATTCATACAATAAATATATACTACATACTATATTGCAATGTTTCAACCTTGGGGATCCATTCAAGACTGTGAATAATTTTGGATGGGTCGTTGAATAATTCCAATTCCAATTTTTCAATTTAGAACAATTTTATTCTAAAGATTTGTGAAAAGAGGAAAAAATCAATATTCCTAAGAAAATTTGACAACAAAATGTTTTAAATTATAATTCTCAACAGTTATAACTCATAACACTAACTGAGTAAATTTTAGATATCTTTGCAATTATAAATGTTCATAAACAAAACCTACAACTTGTACATTGTATGTATAATACATGTATATTTTAATAACAAGTTTAAAAAAGGTGAAAAATGTTTATACTAAGTTATTTATGATAAAATAATAAACATGCGTTCCTAACAACATTAATGAGAATTATAGTTTTCATAAAAATACATAATAAATATTACATTTTGAAATAAATATAAATAAAATTATTTCAAAAGTAGATATATTGTTAATATAACAACCCCTCCCCCCCACACATACACACACCCACTTTAAAATCTCTTATTTTGTGTCAAATGCTGCTGATAGATTTAATTACAACTATCACATTGTTATTATTATTATTATTATTATTATTATTATTATGTGAGTTAAGGTAAAGAAACAGTGCTATATCGTATTGTATGTACATAGTATTTTAAAATGTGCAAATACACATATTATCCAATACTTATACTTACATCTTGTTTGAGATCCTCTCTGATTACTTTGTAAATTTCTTTTAAAGGTGTAATGGGAGCTTGACTGTGCAATACCTTTAATGTGTCTGTGTATTCTTTTGGGAAAAGATTTTCTAATGCCCCAATGTGTTGTCCAATCTTAATATAAACACCTTTGTTCGTACGGCATAGATCTAGCAACAATTCAGCAGCTTTCTCGTGAGACTAGACAAAACGAATAAAATTTTACAAATACTAATACAAATTTGATAAAACAAAAAATTAAATATAGAGATTAACAAACTTTTGATCTTATTTCTTGATAATTCGGTAAAGATTTGTTAACTGATGGTGCATACAAAGTAGTCTTGTAATGATACATTACATGTAATCCCTAAACAAAATTGTTTGGTTATGCAATTTAGTAATTTATACACACATTTACTGATGAAAACTAAAACTTACAGTTGTAGCAGCTCGACTAAATCGAACGATGCCAATTGAATCAATATTAAAATCATTGTCATACAAAGAGTAAGCAGTTGCTACCGTACCACTCAGAATACCTAATCCGATTGTCCTACCTAACATCTTAACTAATATACCTCACTGCACTAAGATTAATTTTACTTTTCTAAAGACATTTCAATCAACTTTTATTGCATAACTACTAACTATTTAATTAAGATTAGTCATAAATACTATTTAATAGGTAAGTAATATAATTTATCAAAGTAATTTAATGATCAATGAACTGAATGAACTAAATGCCGATACGTTTTTTCGATTTACCCATAGATTTAAAGTTATACCTAATCAGTAATCCAAAACAATTTAAATTTCTCACGTAGTGTGCATAATTTATGACCTTGAACAATTAATGATAACACACGTTGAACGAATTTGTATCACTCATTTACTATTTACATTATTATTATTATTATTATTATTATTATTATTATTAATACTTATCATAGGTATTTAATTATTAAATGTACCTAATACATCAATAATTATTATAAAAAATAGACAGCTGAACAGTTAGCTAACTTACTAGTTACTATTATAATATTGAAAAAATTAAAATTCCATAAACAATTTAATGGAATAAAATATAAATAATAGGAAATAGTGTTGCTATAACAATATAAGAAATGCCACGCTTTACTTGTATGGAAAATAAAAATATCATCATATAAATAGTTAATTACAGTTAAGTATTTAAAATGTTGTAATTGATGAGCGGAATAATTGATGAACATTTTGAGGAGAACCATTTGAAATTTGATTTTATAAAATTTGAAATTATTAGAAAAAAATTATGAATCCAAATAAGAATTTAAAATAATAAAATGTGTCTTCATTTAAAATATTGTCTTGAAATGAATTTCAAAAAAAAAAATTTTTTAATTTTAACACAACTGAGTAAAAAAATATTTTTTAAATTGTTATTATCTTTCGAGATAATGAGTGCTTACTGTCAACAGAATAAACGTTGGAACCTAAAATATAACCTTTTTATGTATAATTTTTTTTTTTTTATCAATTAATTAAATAAGTTTTAAATTGAAAAAATATAATAAGAAAAACATAAAACATTTAAAAATGTATTTATTTTGTTGTATAATAAAATGGAGTATACAATTTGTGAAAATAATGAATCAAACCATGACCATTATTTACTATTATTACTGTAAAGAATTATCTAGTAGAAACAGAAATGGGTGAATCTCGATCATATGTATTTGTGACATCCATTTCAACATCATCGTCTTCCTCATCATGAGTTTCACTATCATCTGAAGCATTGACTTCTTCCTCTTCGTCTTCTTCATCCTCTTCATCTTGCACCTATTTAAAAAGAAAAATTAATGAATACAATATTAATAATTGTATGATAAGATAAGAAATACACATAGGCGCAATTAGGGGGGACTTTGAGGGGCTTAGTTGCTAAATTGTTTCTAAAGTTTAAATCTGGAAACATAAAACAAGCCCGTGCAAGACACAGAGCTTTATCCTAATTTATATAAACTGTTATCATTATCTTTAATAATTCCAATTAGCTCTGCAACATGTGAAAGATCATTCTTAGCAATGAGAAAGTTTAAAAATTGGCTTCAAACATCTATGAATCAAGATAAATTAACAAATTTGTCATTGATTTATATAGAACGAGATTTATCAAATGAATTGACCAACGAAAAAACTCCAATTGGCAATTACAATAATATATTTAATAAATATATATATATTGCATTTATTTACCTAAATTTTGTTATTTTTTTCATACAAATATTTTTAGTTTTATTAATAGATGTATTATAATATATTAAAATGTAGGAAAGTAGGTGAGAAAATATGATATTGTCATATTTTTACTTGAATGGGGGGGGGTCCCCCACGTGCCTGATATAAATATGTTGAGCTCCTCTAAGTTAAAAACTGAAATTGCGCCTATGGGTATACAACTAATAAACCACATATTTTGAAGAAAAAAGAGGATGTCCTGTAAACTAGACTATTTTTTTTTTCAATAGAGAGAACTTGTGGAAACATTAATAATTGGGTGTGGGGTTTGTATAGGTTGAGTAGGTTGTTATGTAGGTAGGATTGTTACACGTGTTTGTGTATGTGTGGCAAGGATGTGTTGCTAAAAATCCAGGTGGTCACTCATCTGGGAGCTGTTGAACAGTATGTACACTCAGACCGTTTCTATAGACTGAGCGTGTGACCGCACCTCACCAAGGCACTAAAAGACTTGTTTCGCATAATAATAACATAATCAAACACCTAATGTTATTAAAAACTATGTCTTAAACAAAATAAAATGTTGTTGCTGTTTTGTTCTTAAACAAAATTATTTAAAAAAAATGTTTTAGTTTTATTTATACGGATGATTTTAATTTATTGTAACTCAATTGAATATACTTTAAAATTTTAAAATAAACACTTATTAGATAGGTACTTTAATATCTATTTTTTATAATCAAAAAATGATCTTCAATACAACTATGTAAATAATGCAGTAATAAAATCACTGAAATTAAAAATATAATTATATACTGATAAATTACAACTAGAAAATAAATAACTTTACAATACGAATAATGCAGATAATATATCATAAAAGTATATATTACTTCAGTTGCCGTTTTGCCAATTGGTACTGGAAAGTCCTTGTCGTTGATTTTATTTGTTAATGTGAGTAACTAAAAAATATTAAGATCATTATTATCAAATCCAATTGCAAAATATTTTAGTAAATATTCTTAATTTTACCCAGTTTTGATGGATATTTTCTATTCGTGTAATTTCTGTATCTTCATTTTTAGGCTCATCAACACTAAACCATAATGGGTTTACGATATTAGGGAACATAGTTGGAAAAATTGGGATGCCAGAATTCATATTAATGTATTATATTGAACAATACAAAATTCAAAAAATATTAATATTTAAAAAAAAAACATCTCTTAAAATATGTAAACGGTCGTCAATCGTGATTCGTCAGGACCATAAACAAAAATAACTTGGAAAGCAACGTACATTTGTCATAAACTCATCAATCTGAGGATTTCCCTGAAGTCCTGAAACGGCTGAAAGTTGAAATAGTTTTATTGATAACAGAATATTATTGTGGTCGTGAGCTGATAACAAAATGGAAAAATAAATTTTGGTACAATGTTTTCATAATAATTATTATCAATTATCATGATATAAGTTAATATAGTTACAATTTACAAAACGTACTAAACTAAACGTAGTTATACGTTGTTTATAACTCGGCTCATAACTCATAAAGTTATAACATATAATATATTTCTATAGTATTTTGTACCTACTTGTTGTTATAGAATTCATAAACCATATTTTTTTAAGATGGATTCTGATTTGAAAGATTTAGATCTTTATGGAATACTTGAGATCCAACAGTCGGCTACTGAAAAGGAGGTAAGTTCATTTTTAATCATTCATGTATTACTATTAATATTTGTTATTTAAATCAGATTAAAACAGCATATCGAAAGAAAGCTCTACAATGCCATCCAGATAAAAATCCCGATAATCCCAAAGCAGCTCAATTGTTCTTGCAGTTATCTAAAATTTTAACTATTCTTACAGACACAGCAGCACGAGTAAGATTTCTTGCATTTATATTGTAAGTATATATTTTTTTTCATTTTAAATGTTTTTACTTGTTTTAGTCAGCTTATGACAAGTTAGTAAATGCTAAAATTGCTGCAAAATTGAGAGAAAAAGAATATGATTCAAAAAGAAAGAAACTAATAGATGATCTTGTTAAAAGAGAAAATGAAGCATTAGGAAAACAAAAAAATACAGTAGAACGCAATTTCGAGGTAATTTTTGATTATAGTAATTTTGTTAATTTTTTGTTTTTAAATTAATTTTGTTGTATAGAAAGAACTGGAGCGTTTAAGAAAAGAAAGTTCATCTCTACTTGCCAAAGAAAGGGCTCGAGTTAATGAGCTACTTAGACAGCAAGAAACTGAGAAAGAGAAGATTGGTTCATTCAAATTAAAAGTAAAGTGGAAAGAAAATGGAGTTTATAATAAAGATAATTTAACATCATTGTTCTCTAAGGTAATTTATCAAAATAATATTTTAAATATTTGTCTAATACATTATACAATATTATAGTATGGTGACGTTATAACTGTTGTGGTACTGGAAAATAAAAAATGTGTTGCTCTTGTTGAGTACAAATCTAAGACTTCTGCTGTAAGTGATTTTAAATTAAGTTAAGGTTAACTTGGTTAACTTTGTGCAAATATGTTTATATGTTCATACAAATATTATATTTTGCTAGATAAACGCCAAAAAATTGGAAGTTGGTTATCCACATAGTCCTCTAATTGTGAGTTTTCTTGGGGATTACGGACAAGACACTAAAAAGAGTACTAATTATACTTCAGCTTCAAATGCTAGTACTAACTTTTCAGCTTGTCAAAATCCAAATGACAGTCATGTTGAAAATACTTCATCATCAGCACAAGTAATTTTTTTAAGCCATATTAACAATTCTACTATTTATAAACAAAATACAATTTTCCTTAGGCTTTTTCGGATTATGAAGCAATGATACTTGAGAGATGTCGAAAAGCTAATAAACCACAACAAGAAAATAGTAATTCAAACAATATAAATACAAAAGAACCTTGGGTATTATGAAAAGTCTAACATATTTGAATTACATAGTTAATAATTTAATTTAATTATTATGTTTATATGTAAATATGTATAAATCATTTTTTTCTACCTTAAATGACATCACAAAGTTAAGTATGTCTACCAGACAATCAGAAAAATTATCTCCAAAATTTTAAAGAGGTATTTCTGAAAAAAACATTAAACTCACTGTATAAGAAAAAATAAACGTGGAATTGTGTAAATACAAAAAAAAATTATTTATTTACATGTTATTAGTTATTACTTGTTAAATTCTTGTTAAGTTTTTAGCGTTGTATTAAAATATAATTTTAACCAGAAACATTATAACTTGTAAACCACAATTGTAGATGTTGCAAAAGAAGTAATTGAGGTCCATACTCCATATTGATATATCCTTCTGCCCATGGCTAAATTATTTAGCTTAATTATTTAGCCATGCTACTGCCTACCTACTCCAAAATTTTATCACTGTTGTGTGTCAGGGATAGTAACGTTCTAAAAAGTGCAAAAACTAGGATTTACCTTTTTGTGACTATAAGGATGAGTATTAACTATTGTAAAATACTAGAACCCTAAAGCCTGATAAATTGATGAATATGGATTAATTTAAATATATATATTAATGGGCAGAGTGCCGGTTTTTCAAATTTTCCTCAATTCTATAAAATTTGAATATTTTAATTCAACCAATAATTTACTATTACAATTTATTATAATAAGCTCACTATTATAATGAAAAATTTACTAAGTAGTATCAATGGTTCAAGTTTAAGTAGTTACGTAGTTGCCTCTGGGATTTTTCCTAGAGTCTGGAAAACAAATGTAGAACTGACAATAGTCACTACTGAACACGGGACATTGGTGACAACTGCTTATTATATTATATTATTTATTTGTTACTTATATATACACAACAATAACCCTATTACGTTCTGTAAATGGGGAAAAACGTTTAACTAATCTTTTATTATTGTTCCAAACAAAGGAGTCAGTTATTTGAAATTTGAATGAAGAGTGACGACGGTAGTATGTATGGTAGACATGGATTATAACTAAACTCTATAGAATAGAACCATGAATAATACAATATCTTAATTCGTGGATAGAACTCTCAAGTCATGTATGTATATGATCTGAGGAATCGAGGAAAAAAAGCCCTTTACCAACAAACATTTAATAATTATACTCCAATTATTTATGCCATTTATTTTAACATAATGTGTTGCTGTGCTATAAATAAGCTTAATATAATTATATTTGTATACTTTTACATCATATTTATTAAGTATTTAATATTATCATACAGACATATTATATATATAGACCAATTAAAGATAATTTTTTCCCATGACAAGGCTTTATTTTCCGGGGATTTTTTTTCCCGGGGTTTTTTTCCAATAGAACTATAGACATACCGATATGATTATAACTTATAAGCATCATGATAACACAATCACAAAACAGTGTAACTATTAAATAATTGTAATAGGTAGTTTAATACAATTAATTAGTAATTACTGGGAAGTAAACTACTTTTTTTATAATTATTAGTAAGTTACTTATAGTACAAATTATAAATTCAAAATTTATTTAAATAATACTAAGATTTCTATATTGTAGATCGTCTTTTACACAATAATCAGTTTTCTCTTTTTTTTTATTCTCTTGATAGAATAAAAATTATTCAACCAAAGTTGATCTTATAATTATTTTAAATTCTTTAGCTTTAGCTAGAGAAATAAATATTTTTTCATTAGAAAATATTGCTTTTTTGTACGGAGTATAGTTGATCAATGGTCTGTATGGAAAACATTAAACGATTATGTTACGACAACAAAATTATACTAGCCCCCATGGTCAGGATAAACACACTACCAATGCGTTTATTGGCGTTGGATTATGGAGCGGATATTGTATACACAGAAGAGCTGATTGATCATAGGCTAATTAGATGTTATAGAAAAGTAAATGGTAATTTAAAAATAAAATTGTTAATCACATGATAGACAACCAATATAATTATTTTAGAGACATTACAAAGTGTTGATTTTATTGACAAAAGCGATGCTACAGTAGTATTTCGCACTTGTGCGCGGGAAAAACACTATGTTGTTCTTCAAATTGGTACAAGTGATCCTGAACGAGCAGCTAAGGCTGCACAAATAGTGTAAGTACAATTTTGATTACTGTAAATTGTAAATTTCTTTACTTTTTTATAATTTCCATTAGAGAACAAGATGTAGCAGGGATTGACATTAACATGGGTTGCCCAAAAGACTTTTCACTAAAAGGAGGAATGGGAGCTGCTCTTTTATTTCAACCTGACAAGGCTTGTGCAATTCTTTCTGCAGTGGTTTCAGCAGTTAAAATACCAGTGACATGCAAGATTCGCGTGTTACAAGATATTGATGATACAGTTGCTTTATGTAAGAAATTAGCTGCCACTGGAGTGGCTGCAATCAGTGTGCATGGTCGTACCATTAAAGAGAGACCAATGCATTCGAATAGAAACCATTTCATTAAAGCTATATCTGAAGCATTAGATATTCCAGTTATTGCAAAGTTAATAATGATATATAATATATTAGTAATTTATATACAATATTATGTACAGGTTGTATCATAAGCAGGGCAAGGACTTTCATACTTTTAAAATTCTCAAGTATCGACTAGAAATAAAAATCTACTTCAATTATAGTATGAAAAACGGTTTAGTGGCCTACAATTATAGTATGAAAAACAGTTGGTGGCCACTTATTTCACTTATTAAATTTAGGTATAAGATTAAGTTTAACTTGAAGTTGTACTGTATAGTCTATAATGTGCTGCAATCCAAATTACTTACTGATCATAAAGATTTGGTCTCAATCAGCCATATGACAACATTATAATTAAATAAAAACATTTTTTACTCTAATTCGTGAAAATATTGGGCAGTTTTCTACAAACTACCTATGTATAAACTAAGTACTAAAACCGTACAACACTGAAGTATGACCTTAAAATCTAAAATATGCCCTATAAGCCTCAAAATGTTCAAATATGCAAATATATGCATTATTAATGTTATGAATCATAACAATTTTTACTTATTTAACATGCACAGGATTAACCAGTAAAAATAATACATATGCACAAGTCCTTGCTCTAATTTGAATTTTTTTTTTTTTTTTATTGATCTTAAGCTTCGGCAACTGAGGCCATTAGCTGTAATAGGATTTGTATTGTAGGTTTGTATTGTATATTTTGGGACGATAGGGGGGAACACGTGTGTGTTTGTTTTTGGCAGAATTTCGAATGGGGCACCCGTAGGTTTCTGCCATGCCCCGGGGGTGGGGGATGGCAGCACTTGTTCTCCGGTCACCGCGACTTGTCCGGAGAAAAATGCCGACCGGTAGCCGAGGATCGAACCGCGACCGGCTGCGTCGCAGCGGACGCGTCAGACCACTCGGTCACCTCAATTTGAATTGTTAGTACCACAAGTAACATGTTACTTAGTCGGATAAAAAATTAATATTAGGTTTACGGATTTATATGTAAGTGCATATTTTCAGTATGACTTGATAAATTAATTGAGGCAAGTGATAAATTGATTTTAAATTAAATGAGCTATATATACTCCAATTTACATAATATTTTGTGATAAATACATGTTTTTACATATTTCACAATAATTTCTTTTTTTCTCGTATAATTAGACCCTTTTAGGCTCTCTCTTGAGGAAATCTTTCAGACTATATTTTGTTCAAAATAAGAAACATACAGCAAAACACGCGGTGTCAACGGCAATGGTCTGTGGAGTGAAGCGGATGCGTAAACTAGAACCAGATTTTGTCCGCCACCTAGTGCTTTCTTATTCTGAACAAAGTGTAATATACTATTATATTTTTCAACTTATTTCTATATAACATCTTATTGGATGAAAATTCAAGATATATTATTGAAGTATCAACTAAAAAAATTTTGATTTCCATAGAGCCGATATGTGTGCAGCGAGTCGTACTGCATGTTTCATGTTTTAGTGTGTGTTTGTTTAATATACATAGTTAATAGAACAGTAATTTATTATAATTATTGCTCGAATCATGCCAAAAATCCGATCATCTAAGTTTGCAAAATATGTTTTATTCATGTAATCAAGATCATTAATTTATTTTTAAATATTAATACATTTATATCAATTTAACTTTTAATTTTTAAGATATTATAGATTAGGTCATATGGGCATAATTTTAATAAGTATATTACATTAATGTATTACATATATTGAGTTTTTTTAGCACATATATCTGTACATATTTTTACCGTATAAACACATATAAATCCGTTCCCTAGTTATTATTTTAAAGGTGGTGGGTAGATGAGTATATAAAATAAGTGAGGGGAGTGGTAATTATTCCATTAAGATGAAAGCTTGTGGCACTTTATATTATGCATTTATAGTTTTAAAAAAAATGTTTTTTGATCTGTTTTTATATTTTGTTGTAGTGGTGGGTCAAAAGAAATTAAAGTGTTTGAGGATATAATAAAGTTTAAAAACGTAACTGGTTGTTCAAGTGTTATGATAGCACGTACAGCTGAAAAAAATTGTTCTATATTTAAACGGGATGGAAAATTAGAATTATTTACTATAATAAGAGATTACCTACGCCATGCTGTTGACTATGATAATGTTGCTCCAAATACAAAATACTGTATTCAAAATATGCTTCAAAATATTCAAGAAACAGAGCAGGGGAGACATTTTCTGGAGTCCACATCCTTACAACAAATTTGGTATGTTTAAAGGCAGGTTCCCATTAATACAGCTTATACTTTATAGACTGTTGTCAGATTTGTCTAAAATTATTGCAAACATGTTTACTTATTCAATCGTTCTTTAGATATAAATCATTATATATGTGTATTGTTTTACATAGTTACCAAAATATTTAGTCTTTAAATTTTGATTAATTTTGACTTAGCTGCTTGTTCAATGCTGTACTAATGTGAACCAATCCTGATAAATTTATATTTGTGAATTTATAATTTTGATTTTTAAGTGACCTTTGGGAATTGGGTGATTACTGTCGTCTAAAACAAAAGAAAATGAACTATCTTCGTTTTGAAGAGAGAGATGTTGTGTCTAATGACCAAAAACGAATTAAGTTGAATTCTGTCGAAGAAGAAGAATCAAATTATGGTAATAGTTTAAAGTGTATGTATATACGATCATTATACCCAAAACCTGAAGACTTGCCAAAAACAAAACTATTAAATTGGGCAAAAAAACACAACAAGCCATTACCAAAATATCATACAGAACAATTTGAAAAACTTTTCAAGAGTACAGTAACATTTGATAATCAAAAATATTCATCATCCTTTTGGTAATTACGAATATGTGAATAAAGGAAATTGTATAAGATTTATTTTCTGATATATTTGTATTTTTCAGGGAAAAAAATAAAAGGTGGGCAGAGCAAGGTTCTGCAATTGTCTGTTTACATTACTTGAAAGTTTATGACATTAACTACCTGAAAAAGAATGGAATTCTTGGTTAATAAGATGTTTTTATTGACTTGAAATTATCTTTTCAACTGAATAAAATTAATTTACCATATTATGTATGTATTTGATTTTCATTTATCAACTTATAATATTTATTCTTCTCCATTGCTTTAAATATTAAAACTATGATTATTTTCCTTAAATTTGGATACATAGTAAATAGAATAGATATAGGTATTCTAGTCATGAAAACTTAAGTAGATTTTTATCGCTTATACAAATTACAAATAATAAACATGATACTCTGTTCACCACTTCAGCGAGAGAACTACACGTCACACCGACAAAAATCTGTTCCTCTGCATACCCCCACACAACCACCTGTAATAGGAAAACCGGTTTCTATAGCGGTGTGCAGTTGGGAAATCGGCGAGTCTCTCACTGAACTTAAAAAGCTCATAAAAATTTAATTTTGACTTTCGATAGACATTTTTTTTTTCTTTGATTAAAGTGGAAGTATGAGAGATCTTGTATTAAATTTTCAAATCTTAGATTTAAAAAGAAAAATTCTTATGAATTTCTAAGTTAAAATATTTTGTTAAATTTCGTGATTTTACATATTTTGTCAAAATTTTAAATTCAGAAATCCATAATGAATTATGGTGGAGTTACCCTCAACTTCTGAGGAACCTTGTTATTACATTTTCAAGTTTTTTGACTGAACAAACGTATTTTATCGATATTAATTTTTTTTAAACTAATAATAATCGAAAATTGCATATATCTACAAATAACTCAACACGAGTTAAAATATTTTGAAAACTTAATGCCGCCGGTTGTTTTCCAAGATACGACTGGTCGTCGCGCAGGGCCGTCCCTAGGGGGGGGGGGAGTTAATGGTGTGTATATAAAATGTTAATATTATATACATTCTGTGAAAGTTTCATGTATCTACGACCATTTGTTTTAGAGTTCTCACAAAAATAAAAATCGATTTTGTCGAAAACCAATTTTGCATTGAAATTTAAGTTTTTCTTAATTTTTTGTTTGTTTTTCCCTGCACTTTTGAAAACTTGTGGGATTTTTTAATTTTGACCTCCCGAATGCACCAACTAGATTTTCTTTCTCGCCGGAGAAGATACTGAAGTTGAAAATCGAAGCATTATTTCGACTACTTTGTTCTCAGACAAAAGTAAAAAAAAAATAAACACACATCATTGTAATATATAAATACACTCATCGCTCCGCTCAGAATGTAAATAGGTATTTAAATGTATAGGAATATACATATAATCGATTTTCATGATAGAAATATATGTATATTTTATACATAAATTTCAGCTACAGCGCTAGTTGCGCTTCTAGCATTCCGTATCGTGGTAAACATTAGGCATAAAAAACATTAAATAATGTTGCTTTTAGTAACCTGTAATCTTAAATCGTGAAGGGTACCTACGAACCAACTCCGATAGTAATTAGTAAAATGTGAAAATCGGTGAGTAAATTCCTAAGTGAAATAACCGCCCACTGTTCAGCATCTAAAACGGATTATTCTGTCATTAGCTCCTCAAATCTCAATATACAATGTGTCCCAGGGCGAAGTGACCGGCCGCCGCCTTATGAAAGTATACCTAAAATGACGAAGAAATAACCTTTAAAGTGGGGGTCTAACTTTTTTTTTTTGAGTTATGGGCAATTTAAGTTTCTTTAAACCAAACCAAAACTACCACGGATTTTTTTATGTTACTCTGAAACTTTTCAACATTTTAACATAATTTTTTTTTTATTTTAAAGCTATTTAATTGTCCTTTCAACCATCATACGCAATTAAACCAAACTTATGTAAACTATTATTATTAAATTGAAAAAAGTATATTTTTTTATCAAAAGTTGGAATTTTTAAAATTAAATCTCGTATTACTCAAAATAATTCAATATTTAGTATGGGTTATTTTGGGTGTGTATTATTCTACAGAATAATACCTAGAAAACCTTATAAGTTTGGTTTTCATATCTTTCATAATCGCAGAGTTATACGGAGCTAAACATTACAGGTCTTTTGTGATTTTAATTATTGGCAATTTATAATTTTACTAAACATCAAGTCTAACTTAGGCATAAACTCACTAGAGGTGAAATAAATAATGTAATAAGTCAATTTTTTTTTTAATTAAATGAAAATTAAGTAGTTTAATAATAATAATAATTAAATAACAAGGAAATAAATGTTATGTTTATACTTTATTTGATTAATTAATACGATTTTCAAAGTGTTCCCCACCTGATTGCAAACAAGCTTGAGCTCTAAATGAAACACTCTGTGTAGTCCTTTGTATTTCAGCATGATTTTGTCGTATTTCTTCTGCTGCTATATCAATGCGGTCCAATAATTGCTCACGGTTCTCGATGAGAACAGCATAAACTTTCTGTTTCATGTATCCCCACAAATAAAAATCTAAAGGCGTTAGATCGGGAGATCGTGGTGGCCAAGCTATTCTACCTCCACGCCCAATCCATTTTGGATAATGCGTATTCAAAAATTGACGTACTGAACGAGCAAAATGTGCAGCAGCGCCATCAAGTTGAAACCACATTACTTGGCGTCTTGGCGAGTTGCAAGTGGTACATCTTCTAAGAGTACTGGCAATATCTCTCGTAAAAATTCCAAAAAAGAATCTTGATTTAGCCGATTAGGTAAAATATATGGTCCAACAACTAAATCGTCTATCATTCCAGCCCAAACATTAATTGAAAATTGATGTTGGAATGTAGTTGGCCATAGAACATGGGGATTTTCAACGGCCCAGATATGTGCGTTACGGTGATTAGTTATACCTGTTCTGGTAAACGTGGCTTCATCCGTCCATAAAATATGTTTCAAAAAATCCACAGTTCTTCTGTGTTCACGAAGGAGCCACGTACAAAAAACTAATCTTGCTGCACTATCCCCAAATATTAAAATGTGAGATCGACGAAAATGATATGGATGAAGGCCTTCTTTTTTCAAAATTCTCCATACCAGAGGTCTTTGATACACCCAGCCTTGCAGATATGCGACGGATACTTGTAGTCGGATCCCTAGTAATTATACCCAACACTTCTTCTTCTAATTCTACATCCAACATAACGCCTTGTTCATTGCGATTTCGTACTAATCCAAACTCTGCCAGGTGTCTATGAACGATGAACGATCGATATCCTAAAACAGGTCTTTCCGGATATCGGAGCCTATACTCTTGCACAGCGGCTCGAGCAGTGCCATTACAAAATCCATACACATAATGCTAAATGCATATCAGCAATGTGACCAAATAGCAAATCAAATAATCTTGGCATTTTGAAACTTTTTTACAAATTTACTTACACAATTATTAACTGAATAACAGGTCTAGGTACAGATGACACGACAACTTAAGTGAACCGAAGAAAACAAAATGACAATTTAACTAAAATTTACCGAAATAAATAAAATTAAACGATTAACGATTAATTAACGAGCGATATTCGATTCTAAGAAAACTAAGATAGTGATTAGTGACCATTAACAACGTATAACTCTGCGATTATGAAAGATATGAAAACCAAATTTATAAGGTATTCTAGGTATTATTCTGTAGAATAATACACAACCAAAATAACCCATACTAAATATTGAATTATTTTGAGTAATACGAGATTTAATTTTAAAAATTCCAACTTTTGATAAAACAAATCCGTAGTAGTTTTGGTTTGGTATAAAAAAACTTAAATTGCCCATAACTCAAAAAAAAAGAGTTAGACCCCCACTTTAAAGGTTATTTCTTCGTCATTTTAGGTATACTTTCATATGACGGCGGCCGGTCACTTCGCCCCGGGACACATTGTATATTGAGATATGAGGAGCTAATGACAGAATAATCCGTTTTAGATTCTGAACAGTGAGCGGTTATTTCACTTAGGAATTTACTCACCTGTTGAAATAGCCAAGGTAAGAATGACCACACGCGAAGATATTATTAAGACAATATTACACACGACATACGTGGCACAATATATTAATTACTATTAGTAAGTGTCACAAGGAAAAGTTGATAAAAGATCCGTTGTAAATACTTAAGTGGGACCTTGTAAAAGACCATGTTAACTGACTGTTTGTCTAGTATATTAAGGCCCCACATCAGGGAGACCAGACACACTATTTCTGCGTGACGACTAGTTGACAGTCAGTGATGTGATATGGAGGGAAATTTCCCGCTTGGGGGGAAATTTGATCTCAAAAATCGCGTGATGGGAAAAAGGGAAGAAAAATGAAAAAATAGAATAAAAAGGGAAATTTTGGAAAATTGTTTTATGAAAAAACCTTACCTAAAATGAGGACATTATTACCATTGGAATAAGTTGACATTGGATTCTTGGAGTAAATTGTAAATTGTAATACAATTAAATAATTCGCCTGTTCAGCCGCTGTACTGAACTCATAAGTCATAGATGTTGTAGTTATAACTTAATTTATTCTATTCTGTATTTTTGTATTTCTGTAGTAAAATTAATTACAATTTAAAATAGTTATAATTAATAAATAATTTGGATTTTGATGAAATATAATGGACAGTATTCATGCTAGAGATATTTGTCTTAAATTGTAACATTACTCTGAGTGTTTAAAAAAGTGTTAAAACACTAACCTACAACGTCAATAAAAATATAACAATAATTAATTTATCTACGAGTAAATTCATTTGATTCGACCCTTGTCAACCGAACTCCACATCTGGATCGCAACACACTTACACACCGATCTACTGTACTGTAATAAATTTAAAAGTACGCTGTGGGTAAATTGTTGGAACAAATCTAGTTAACAGTCCAAGCTCGTTTTTCAATTTTTTTTTCAAAATGAGTGTTTTAAGTGTTTTGAAAGTGTTTGAAAAAGTTGTCGCTCTTTTTTATTACGAAAGTCAAACCAAAAAAACTATCAAAAAAATTGGTTCTAAACTATTGTTGTATCAAAATACCCCCTTTTTCTTGTTGGAAGTTGGAGTAGCCAGTAGGTATTTGTTAGAAATTAGAATATTTCTCTGCACCACCAGAAATTATAGCCAATTTACGCTACTGCGTAGATACCTACGATTGTTCAAACAAATACTATGTATGACGATACGGGATAGACATTGATAATAATTGTGGACGACATAGCCCCCCGAAGGCTGAAATGTTACGATAAATTTTACAATCCTAAACGACCTAGAGAGCGTTCGTTCCTTCTCGAGGGGCATACACAATACACATATGTTACGATTTCTGATACAAGTTGTTCCGTATTGTCATAATTATTAAATACCTAGTATTTGGTGCAAATTATAACTATACAAGGTATATGTTAAACAAAACAATAATATATTGTCAGTTTGTGACTTTGTGTCTATGACCTTATGAGTCGTGACTGCTCGCGATATACAATGAACTCTGAAACCAAAATCGCGGTATAAAGAATTTAATAAAATACATTTTATACGAAAGTACCTACAAATTATTAGGCGGTGGTATAGACAGAAGGTGAAACGTATTAATGTATTATGGTCATTATAGTAGGTACGTTATATCTATATAATTTAAATTTAAAATGAACGTAGGTGACCTGGTGCCAGTAAAATTTTGTCCCCAAAAAATAGGCTTTACGGGAATAATAATCTTATTGTTATGTGGAATCGAGCACCAACCAAATTTGATCAATTTTTTTTTACAAATTATTTTATATCATTGTTTAAAATTAATTTAAAAATCGAAAATCAATGTTACTTGTAGGTATAATCATATCCTTTCAGATAAAAAAATAGCTATCAAAATCTGACAATTCTACAAATCCCAACTGCATGAGAACTTTTCCTGACTTCCTGAGAAATCATTTTTGTTCGTTTTAATCACAGATTTACATATATATATATAACATAATATATATCTGTGGTTTTAATACAGCGAATCACCCATACACCCCCCTCCCCATATGGCCATATTAAGTATCGGGTATTCGGGTTGTAGATCAGCGGAAAAGTATTAAGGTAACCAAGATAATTGTGTACAATTAAAAATAACTCACAAATAAAATTGGATAGATATCATACCTAGCTGATCTAGCGGTCTTCATTTTTTTTCTTTATAACAGCCATCTTATATACATTTATATATACCATCTGTTATATACCCACCTACTCACTATGCACATAAATACTTTGAAATAGTTTATATTAAATTAAATTAGATCTGCTTGTACCTACTTGTTGTAAGTTGTAACTGTTAAACGTTTAATTTATTTACGTTTGTTATACAATATACAGTGTACTGTGTATACAACAATGTATTGTACATATTATATATATATATGCCTATTAGCTACTCGCCCTACTCCGAAAGTCCGAAATCCGAAGTGTTAATGTAGTATACTTTAGACTACCATGTACTCGTATGAGTCGTATGAAATAAAAAATGGCCTACAGAATACAGATTACAAATGATTTTTATCAGTACCTATTATTTATTTTACTGTCAGTGCTCAGTAATAATATCATTAAAATATAGGCACCTATATGGCTATATAATATTATATTATTATAGTTTAAAATGTGTAGCTAATAAATAACGTTTTGTACATCAATTATCAAATATAGGTAATGACTTAAAAAAGTAGATAACAACCATTTGGCATTTAATACCTATATTTTTAGTCCGGTACTTCGACAAGAGATAAAGCAGTCCAACATCCATATTTAATATTATAATATTGCCTATTGAATAGGTACCTTCATTCATGTTCAGAGAAAAGCAAAATCCTTAAGAGCATCAAAAAATAATAAGTAACTTTGAGTTATTCTAATTTTATAATTTACTCGAAAACTTTCTCATCAAATGTCAAATAGTTAATAAAACTAACTTGTTCATTCGGCTGTGAAACATTCAAACATGAAGTGGATAGTTTTGAGTTTTTTGTGCTCACTAATCAATCCGGTTTTTTTGGATACTCAAAAACCAGTAAGTTTTAAGTAATACCATAGACCAGGTACCAAATATATTTTCATATAGGTACCTATTTGGGAGTCTTGCAACGTACTTGAGTGAAAGTACTCACTATTCAAATACTTTTTAAGTATTCAAATATGTATTTTAAAAAGTTCTTGAACAAATTGTTCTAAATACTTTCTCAAAGTATCTGTATTTTAAATTAAATAGGTACTAATTTTCAAATACTTATTTATTAATTTTTTTTATTATGAGTTACACTCATGTGGAAATTCAATTGCTTTGACAATAAAACCAGATGTGCATATTTTGATAGTTACATAAAATAATATGGTATAAAATGCTCTTTAAAATTTACTTTAAACATGATACCTAATTGGTTTTGTTGATTTAAACGGTAAAAAATTTAAAGTATTTAATGGTGCCTATTTGAAAGTATCTATAAATACTTTTTTAAAGTATTTATATTCTTACACAAATACTTTTTTACTGAGTATTCAAATAATATATCTATTGTAAATGCTTTTCAAAATAAGTAAGCACCTGTATATGTACTTGAATACTTTTAAAAAGAATATTTTATAAGACTTCTATTTGGTAC